GGCACTTGAATGTTCATGTGTGTGTTCGTTTGTATCTCCCGTTGTTAGGCATATCACCAGCCACCTGTTATTAAGGCAGACATACGAAAAATGCACACATGCATACATACTGGTGGATATATCGTGTTTAATTTTGGCCTTTCCAGATTTGACTCCTCTCACTATAATTGCATTTTTTTTGACTTCTCTTTGTCCCATATGAACTGCTCCTTGGCGATGTATCTCCCTATTGTTGAACAGTTATCGTGAGTCTAGACATATTCTTTGTGATGTCTTCGCTGAATCTACAAGTCTGCTCAGACAGTGCTCGAAATTATCGCTGACTTCTCTCTTCTAATCTCTTGTTCATCAAGTTACTTTGAAAGACCATATCCACAGCCTCCCTGATCTTCCATTTTCTGGTGTTCTCCCCATATGAGGCCAGTCTTTATGTTACGCACCAGTCAATTGTATGGCCGGTAAGGGCGATGAACAGATGGAAGTACTGAGATTTTGAAAGGAAAGCAAGAGGAGCAGAGGTACACGATGGATATGTCTATCGTCCTGCGAATTGGCTCGGATGCTATGACAGATACTATTATATTGTAATATTCATACAATCCTAAAGGAAAGGACAACCTTCACCAATTTGCCTACCCAACATGAAGAAGCCAACAAGTCTTGAAGCTCTACTTATATACGAAAAACAAAATGGATTATTCTGGAGTTTACGTCATAAGCTGCAATGACTGTAAACAAAAATAGATAGGAGCTATGGGAAGGAAAATCACTATAAGGATTAAAAATACCAGTAAATGTGCCAAAAATGGATACGGAAAGATCGGAGATAGCTGAACACATCGCCCTTACCGGCCATACAATTGACTGGTGTGTAACAGAAAGACTGGCCTCATATGGGGGGAACACCAGAAAATGGAAGATCAGGGAGGCTGTGGATATGGTCTTTCAAAGTAACTTGATGAACAAGAGATTAGAAGAGAGAAGTCAGCGATAATTTCGAGCACTGTCTGAGCAGACTTGTAGATTCAGCGAAGACATCACAAAAAGATGTTTAGACCCAGGATAATTGTTCAACAATAGGAAGATACATAGGAAGGAGCAGCTCACGAGGGACAAAGAGAAGTCAAGAAAAGGCGATTATAGTGAGCGTAGTCACATCTGGAAAAGCCAAAATTTATCACGAGAGGTCCACCATTTTTTATGCGTGTTATTTTTCGTATCTGTGCCGTAAGGCCAGGTGGCTGGTGATAGGCCTAAGAATGCGAGATACAAACGAACACACACATAAACATTCAAGTGCCCTAGGATTAGATGGGAATGTCAACTTGAATGACGAGAGGTATGTGCTTTTTCCGATTTAGGAGGAGAAAAAGGGAAGTAGGGCATTTTCACACCAGCGGTTATGACTTAAACGAGACGCAGGGCCCCAAAGAATGTGATAAAATGTTGATGAGGTTGAGAAAGAAGATAATTGAGTCAATGGTTTGAAGGTTAAGGAGAGGAAGATTTCCAGGCATGGGCATGGGCAGCATTTGCTCTAAATCCTTGCAAATAGCGTAATTGGGGATCGGAATTCTTTACGACTCTGCACATCTATTTGTTTCCACTTTTCGTAGTTTCGCAAAATTAATATTTACGCATATTGCATAGGTTACGTGTTGCGTTTATGCCCTTTGTTGACATTATCACACTTATATATATTAGTTATTAAATATTATTGTCACCTATTTATTCCGTTATATTAGCCGCTTTTTCTTTCATTGATTAATTAGTGAACTTTTGATGAACTGATATTTGGGCTTTAGTTTACATATCACTTTTAAGTATATTCTTTTCTTATCTTAAGTAAATCTCAATTATCAGTCTCCTAAACAATCTTTGATGTTGGTCTCTTCTACAGGTAATTTTCACATCGTTTCCCTGACTAGGCACCCCTTTTTTAATTTATTCTCGTGTAGTTTCGTATTTGTAAGCAGTTTTCATTTTATTGCGATTGCATTTATTTAGCTGTTTGTCCGCTTTGTTTATTTATTGTTTTGATCATATAATGGCTTCCAATATTCGGTTATTATAGCACGAGCTAGTTCTTCAAATAAATTCTATTTATACGCTTTATACATCAACGTCCATCATTCAGATTAAGTTTTAAAATTTATTTAACCCATTGATTGCAATTATAATTGCATTTTTTTGGTATAATTATGTCATGATGGAAAAGTTGGAAGTTGTTCACATTTCCATTACCATCATACAATTATTGAAAATTTCTTCTCTTTCGATCCAACCTCTATCTGTAATGTTTTCTTTCCTCATTCCACTCATTTCTTACTTTATTTGCATAACTATACTTATTCTAATTTTTCACAGCTTAGCCTGGATTACGGGCTCGTTGGATCTCCAAGCGACAAGCCGGTTAACCTTTTGCCTGGACTTCGAACGATCACCTGTCTTCTTCGCTCATCAGCTTCTGCCGATTGGACATTTGGACTGGCGAGACTTGCTTATCTTTTGTTATCCTCTTCAGATATATCTGATCCTTTAACGCAAGAGTTTAAGTTGGCAGGACCCGAAAGCAGGCACTTGCAAGACATGTTTTTCTCTGCTAGCCAGGAGCCACCATCACCATTCGAGTTACAGCAAAGTGGACTTATCGATGCTCTTTTGGCCTACCTCACAAATCCGGTAGATAGTGGACTTCGTATTAGACTTATGCTTAGAGTAAGCGCCTTGGATAACATTTTATTCATAATTAATAAATGTGGTAGAATTACTGATGTTAAACACGATTATTTTTCCTCTATAGTTAATGCATGTCATGTAACTTGTTAGCACTTATCTTTTTTTAAATTCCTTTCCATTTTAGTGTATTTACTTGTTCCTATGCTCGCATCTTGTGTTCAAATCCTTTTGGGGATTTTATTAAATCTAAAACAACACAATTCAATTCACTCCTTGATGTAACATACTTTTGAGTTGCATAGCATAGCATAGTGGAATTCTATGATGATAAGTCATTGAGGGAAAGTAGAAAAATCCGTGTTTTATGTGAACTCAGCTTTATCTCGCACTTTAGACCAAAACCTTAAATTCATTATAAAGAGAAGCTACCACCACTCGTTCATAATCACTTTGATTTAAATGTGTACTATGTTTTATTTTTATTCAGAATTGTTCATGGCTATTGAAACACTTACATTTCTTTAGATTAAATAACTTTTAATTTATCAGCTAATTATCTTGCAACCTCAATGCAGCCTTTTGAATCTGCTGCACAAAAATGCTCACTCAATTTATTATAAATAAAGACATATGCAAATGCATCAATGGGAATTGTTGATGAGCACGAAAGTCTTGCATAAATCAGTTTTTTTCTTTTAAGAAGTTGCTTGACCTTGTTCTCGCAACTTGGTCATATTGGTAGAAAAACCTTGAGGAATGCACCTGGGAATATATCACGTCCACGGTCCTACTCTGGAAATTATCATGCATGTAATAGACTCTGAACTAGGTGCATTCCTCTAGGTTTTCCTACTAATATGACCAAGTTGTGAAAACAAGGTAAAAAAACTTCTATAGAACGAAAGGAGACTGCGATCACATAAAAGGCCATACCATCTTGGTCTTCATAC